ATATTTATATGCTTAGTAGACTTCTAAAAAGCATTTGATAGAGTAAGACACGACCTACTATTAGAACGTTTGCAAGAAGTCGGTTTAGATGGAAAAGACATCAAATTCTTAAAAAACTTGTACTGGAACCAAAACGCCAGAGTTAGGATCGAAGGTTCCACATCCGCAGAAGTAGAAATTAGGAGGGGAGTTAGACAAGGATATGTTCTGTCGCCTCTGCTGTTTAGTCTTTACTCTGAGTTCTATTTAAAGAAGCATTGGAGGATTCCAAGGATGGAGTCAATGTGAATGGCGTAAATATCAACAGTATCAGATAGGCCGATGATACAGTGTTAATTGCGGATTCCGACTTAGGTCTACAACGATTCATCGACAAGACCAACTCGACTTGTGAACAATTTGGTATGAAAATAAACATTAAAAAAACCAAAGTGATGTCAATCCGAAAAAACCAAAACGTACCTCAACCTTGCACAATAAATGGGCACATTTTGGAACAGGTCAATAGATTTAAGTACCTGGGATGTTGGATCGATAGCAGCCTAAATCCTGATCTAGAAATAAGATCGAGAATAGAACAGACCAGAAAATCTTTCGAAAAAATAAAAAAACTGCTTTGTGATTCTCGAATAAAACTCGAAATTCGACTACGTTTATCAAAATGCTACGTCTGGTCGACTCTTCTATACGCAGTTGAAACGTGGACCCTTAAAACATCAACCATAAATAAATTTGAGGCCTTTGAAATGTGCATCTACCGGAGAATACTCAAAATTTCATGGACATCGCATAACTCAAACGAAGAAGTGCTGCATAGAATAGGCAAGGAAAGAGAACTTTTTAACACAGTAAAAGTTAGAAAAACATCATACCTAGGCCACATACTGAGAAATAATAAGTACCAATATGCCCAACTTATAGTGAAAGGAAAAATTGAGGGAAAGTGAGGCCTAGGAAGGAAAAGACTATCGTGGCTCAGAAATATCCGACAATGGACAGGGCTAAATTTTGAACAGCTATTAAGAACAGCCGAAGATAGAGAAGAGTTTAAAATTGTAGTAGCCAACCTCCATTGAGGAGAGGGCACTTTAAGAAGAAGATCCGTTGACGTATATACTACACTTAGAGCTTTCGAGTGCCTCTGCAAAAACATTCTTCACGTAGAGGCTGAACAGCACAGGAAAGAAAATACACCCTGTCGCACCCGTCTTTAAATTTCAAATTCCTCTTTGTTCACTGATTTCTTCAACCTCACTCGTGCTTTTTTATTCCAATAGAGATTCCGGAATGCTCTTATGTCTTTCTCATCAATGTTAGTGTTGTGTAACATGTTTATCATTACATCGTGTTTTATAGTGTCAAACGCTTTTTCATAATCGAGGAATGTGATGAATGGTTAAATTCTTTCGTTGGTTAATGCAGATTTGTACAAGAGTATTAAAGCAGAAAGCTGCTTTACGTGTAACCACTCCGTTGTTAAATCCAAATTGTGTCTCGCCGCTTAGCTCTTCCAACTTTCTGAATAATCTTGCGAATGGTCCATGAAACAGATCAGTCTGTGGTCTGAATTTTACCGCGTTTTGTGATTTAGATATCATTATAATGGTTGAATAAAGGTAATCTGTTTAAATATGGTCGGTGTTATATATGACATTGAAAATTGTTACCAACATATCGATGTTGTCATCTTCCAACAGTTTTATGGCTTCCGTAGTAATGCCATCCGGTCCAGGGGCCGTGCCCTATTTTGCTACTTTTATAGCGTACTCAACTTCGGCACCAAAAATGGGAGGGCCAGATAAAGTTTCCGTGGGTAATATATTAGTTGGCAGATTCGATCTATTATCCATAGCCTACTCAAGTTTTAGCTAGCTCTTCCTGAATATGCCCGTATTCTCCTTGATCATTTTTCAAGCGAGTCTCATGCTGTTTTTTCTATACACTCGAAATGTCTTTAACCTTTTTGTGTAGAATAACCCCTTTTCTTGTATTTCTGTTGTTTTTGATGTATTTTGTACTGTCTGTGCTGCTCCATTTCATAAAGTATTTTTTCCGTCATCCACCCGTTTTTGTGATTTCTTCATATTTTACTTGCGATTGCTTCGTGAGCATTGGCTAAGGCCATTTTGATTTCGTCCATGTAATTTACTTGTATATTTCTCAAGTTTTCGTTAATTTGCTTACTGTATATAGTTCTTAGCTCTTTAACTTCCATTAATTCTCCTGTGATTATGTGTTCTATTCATCTCTACATGCGTCTTCATCTCTGTCTATGCCTTTTCTCCAGCCTTTTCTTGGTTTTCCACGTTTTCTGTGCCCTTCTCCATCACTATCTGAACGTCTGTGAAATACAGTGTATGTAGGGTGTTCCTGTTGTTTACTTAATGCCCACTCCTTCACATTTTCTTTTCCATATCTTCAATGCCTGTTCAAGATATATTTTAAAAAAAATTCGTGAGATACAACAACTCTGTTTTAGACCTTTGGTTATTTTGATGTTTTCTAAAAGTTTATTCACTATTTTTAAAATTGTAAATATTCAAAATAATATTCAAAATAATTGACAATAAGAAATTTTAAGTTTTAATCCTTTCTAAGAAACTTGGTGCTTCTTGATTATAATATTTTATACCTAAACAGATTATGTAAGTAAAGACGATTCACATAAATATAGTGCCTTCATTATTCTAACGGAATCTTAGACCTGATGGTAAAGTAATAAAAATAATCTTCCCTTATAAATCTTCTATTGTTGAAAATTTGTGAGTTATCAGGACCGACTTAAATCCTAATTAAATAATTCTACAAATTAGTGTAAATTCTAAGAATTTGAACTTGGTTAATTACTTAAATTTATAATCTTCACTACCTTGTTAATAGGGTTAGTTTGGGGATTTTCAAGGAATTGGTGTTCAAAGATTAATCTTTAAATTTATCTGTTGTATATGTTATGGACAAAGTGATTATGTTAGCCATTATGTATAATGCCCGGTCATTATTAATAATGACTAACTTCAGCGGGCAATTTGATAACTTTTTACAATTTATCATATTGTCTGGTCATTATGAAAAATGCTACACTATGGCCGGGCAATGTGATAAATCGGCGTTCTTAATAAAGCATGCGAACTTAGATGCGCCTAGAAGACTTAGAGGTCCTGTTCAAAAATCAAGAGGCTGGGCTATCTACAGAACCAGATATAATACAAAAATAATAATATAAATGTGGACTCTTCAGTAATGTTGCCCGAATCAAGTTCCATATCATCTGGCTACACCCTGGACGTTCAAAAAATTGGTGCAATTTTAATTGATGAAAATTCATCTCGTGAATCTAGTCGAGTTCCAGAATTTTTAACAAATGCGGTAGAAACGGCTATTGTAGTTAATTTAGAAAATAATGAAAATCTGGATTCCAATACAGATATTAGAATAAACGATGTAAAGAAGAAACGAAAATTGGCTTTGACGAATCTAGAAACAACAAGCCAAGAAGATGTTAAAATTTTCCAATTCCAAATATTCATCGGCCTAAACTAGCTAACACAGTTAGGATACGAGTGCCAGATGTGGACCGAGCTCGTAGTTATCAAAGAAATCTTCTAGCTATCGTGACAGAGATAACTGAAAAAAAGCTTTACAAACTAGGCACAAAATATGGCATACTAAATCAGTTATATTCAAGAAACCAGTTTACCGTTTGTAAAGAAAAGTTTATCTCCATAGAAGAGATTCCAGACACTGAGATATCTCTTAGAGAATGCGCAAGAAAATCTTCTAACTGTGGGGGACAAGGATACAGTAGGTGCGGTTGTAAAGGTGGGTGTAAATCGATAAGTATAAGTGTCGTAAAGAAAAAAAATATGTAACTCCAAGTGTCACCATAGTGGAACATGTTTCAACAAATAGTTATGTATTGTAAATCATTCATACAAAATAAATTTCGATGATGTATCACGCAAAGGTGGTAAGTGTATTTTTATTTAAAATTGAGTTTGATTTAGAAGAAAAACGATTTAATTTCTCACTGACCGATTTGTGTGTTACCATCGATTTCGGTCATTAGAAAAAAATGCAAATAAAAACACAGAATTCTTTTTTTGGTTTCCTCAATTACCGTTAATACGTATTATATTTTTTATGTATACTTATTCATTAAATGTACTCATGTGCCATTTCACAGAAGACTGCAAGACTGTTTTCATTAGTATATAAGAAATATTTTAGTTATTACTACATACTTGATTGTATCAAAATAAATATATTTAATATTTAATAAAAATAAAAGTAGTTTTAATCATCCTGTCTAGTAGATGCCAAGCATTATACATAATGCCCGGGCAATGTGATGAATTTAATAGTATTTATTATATTGACCGACAGTATTGGGCATTTTTTATTATAGCCCGGGCATTATGAAAAATGACCAATTAATCATATGGTCCATAACATATATACATATTAAAATACAATACAATACATGAAGAAGAAGAATTGACCCATACAGAGGTGAAAGAGAAAATATCCAAAATAAAACATGGGAAAACAGCGGGAGGAGACGGAATATGTGCAGAACTTATAAAATACGGTGGAAAAGCACTATATACAGAAATATATGGAAATTAGAAATATATACAATAAGGACAATCAAAGAGAGAAATGTAATGGCATGTCTCCTGTCAAAACAGAAAACCAAAAAAGGTATATCGACGGAAGGCAACCGTATATAAGTTTTTATAAAAATTAGTGATGATCTTCTACTCTAATTTTTTATGTTAATCAGGATATCTCATATAAAATTAGTATGGTCCTTGTGCTGAATACGTTGTGTAGGTACAAGACAAGGCACTATATTTTTGAATGTACCTTATTAATACGTTTAAAATTCGCCGTCACTGGTTTATCACATTATGTTTGGAATTATCCGCAGTCATAAAAATAGTACTTACTATTAATTATTTTCAAACGGAGTGTAACAATTATTTCCTCTTTATTTTCAGGATATTTGAAAAAATCCGGCTTTATTTTGGTCAACAAAGTGAGACAATACCAATGTCTTTCGTATTAGGTTTTTATGTATCTTTAGTGGTGGGCAGGTGGTGGGACCAGTACAAATTGCTGCCTTGGCCTGATACTCTTGCCTTGTTCCTCAACGCGGGCATTCCAGGCGCGGTAAGTACGTATTGGTTTTATTCATACCTTGCAAAGCATGCCATAATAACTGAAATAAGATGTAGAATTAAATTGCAAAAGTTATGTATTTTTTATGGCATATTTACTATTATTATATTTAATAGGTATTTAAAATCTCTAAAACCTCCTCAATGAATATGTTGATGTTGAATTATGAAACGAACGGATTATTATCCCCAGGTAGGTAGGCAACCAGCAATCAAGCAAAAACATAACGAAAATGTTGAAAACGAAAATGGAGAACTCATGATAAACTTCGGCACGAATAACGAACTTTGACATTAACTCACACCTAAACCCACATTTCGATCTTACTTCTATCGATTTTTTTTTAAAGTCGATATTTATGGGAATGGTAAAAATAGTAAAATTCATTAAGCGATGCAGGGAGATGTAAACATTAAATCGTATCCGAACCTGTATGAGCTGCCGACAACGTCGGCAGACGAAATAAAGATGGACATTTCGGTTAGTTTTTAAATATTTTTGAAGAACTGTTACTTGCATTTATGCATAAAATATTCATTAATTTTATAAATCGGATTATTTTTTCACTTACTATGTATTCATTGATAACAATAATTGATTTACTATGCAATAAACACTAATAGTTGAGAAAAGAAAAAAAAATAATAAAGTGTCATAATTATACTGTTACTTATCGGCACGAGTAATATGTGGAACATCTTTTTATCTGTTAAATTTATCGTTGTTTATATGCCCTGCATCACTTAATGAAATAAGGTTATAGTCTTTCTAGTGTTAGTTTAGTGTTAGATCTTTCCATATTTTAATTAATTTAGCTAATGCGGTTCGGGCCATTTCTACTCTACTTTTGATTTCTGGGGATCTATCTCGATTGTTGGTTATCATGGAGCCCAAGTAGACAAATATGTCTACTATTTTGAAATTCGCTACTTGGTCTGTGTGCAGTAGATTATTATTTGCCTTGTCTATGATCAATATTTTTGTTTTTCCGGTTTTTATCAGAAGCCGAATTCATTGTTTATTCAATTAAGCCGTTCAATGCTGTTGTTTTCACAGTAGTAGCAAAATTTGGAAATGGAAATTTGATCAACGTATCTCGAGCATACCCAACCCACACTCTTCAGACTCTAGAATACTTTGCGTACATATTGGTTTACGTTTGAAATATTTTTAATGATCTATTGTTGAAGCATGTGAAAGAGCATCAAAAACAAGTGAAAGAAATACAAGTATTATTATTTTTGGTATTCAGTGACGACCTGCTATGAATAATAATTGAAAGAAAGATAAGTGGGCCGAAAAAGAGGAGTCAGAAGAGCCTTATCATGACTTCATAATATCAGTTCATGCATGAACGTTCAACAGTTACTAAGAGTGGCACAGAATATAGAAAATTTTCATGTAGTAATCGCAACCTTCTATAATGTAGTGCACCACAAAAAGAAGAAGTGACACAATAAAAACTGAATGTACAATTCTAAATTTTGAAGACCTTTTCTTTCGTCTTCAAAAAACATCTAAGTCCAGGACGTCGCCTGACTGACCTTAGTGCTAGGATTCGGTCTTCGTACTCTCGTCGATAGTTCCCGAGGTACTTTAAAATGTCCTCTCGTCGCCGAGTCTACGCCGAACGCCTACCTGATAAACCAGTCATCCAGCGATCCGGAAGCGGAATGCACAGACTGTCAGCAAGGAGGCTCCCTGTCTTGTTCCAAGTAGCGCGTGGAACACCTTTATCGCTCCTAGTACGGCATTACTCCCAGATGGGCATTTTTTCCTTCCCCACAGTCTAACTCATACAGTTTGACTCACTTTTCTACCTTAACTTCCAGCATCTTTTCCTCTTGCCTTTGATCTAGCTGTCTTTCCTTCTCTTCTTTCTTCTTGATCACTGCACAGATATAGTTGTGTACGCTAGTCCAACTGTGTTTTATTTTCAATCATTTCTCTCACTGTAAAATTCACACCTGTCTCTCTCTTTCCATTCTGTTTCTTTCTACTATCCATCTGTTGCACTGTAACATTATATGTGTCAAAGTGTCCGAGTGTCCACAGTATAGGCATTCATCTATGTCAGCCTTGTCGAACCTAGAGAGTTAGGCCTTAAAATACTGGTGCCCTATGAGCACCTGCATTAGGAAATAATCCAGTCGTCTGTGGCCACAGTCCAATCTCATGTTCGAAATCAGCATCTTTACCCACTGTGCCGCATCCTACGTGCTGTTCTATTCTTCTTGCCAATTTTTAATTGACCTTTCCCTTTAGTGTCTTCTCTCGGCCATAGTAAGATTTGGGTCTCTTTGCATAGAGCTATTTTCTTTCCACCACCAAAAATTGCAACGGAACACATCCAGCGATGGTTCACAATGCTGCCGCAGATACAGTCCTGTAGACGCATGCCACTCGCAACATACTTGTGCTATTCCACTCATACTATAAGCCTCTTATAGGCCGTTATCTCTACCGCCCCGCTCCAAACTGGTGCCGCGTAGAGGATAATCGACTGCACAACACCAAGTAAGGCCCTCCTTCATTCGGATTTGGGTCCCCTAATTTTGGGAATCGCCCTAGGAACGTCACTCCTAGGTACTTTACTTGTTTCTTGGGTTTAGACATTGTAGTTCCACACTTTGTCTGTTCCTTTTCCCCTTCAGAATGATGGTTTCGGTTTTCTCTGCCGCAAATTTCAGTTCGTGCTGCGTCATCCATTTCTTTACGACGCCGCATGAGTTCCGCATCCGGTATTTGAGATCTGGTTTATCCGAGCCACTACCAGTACAGCGAGGTCATCTGCGAATACGAAGGGAGTTGTATCCTCTCCGTATTTACAGTTCATAACCCCGTCATATACTAGGCTACATAGCATCGGGCCTGAAAGAGTCCGGTTGTCAAGTCGACGATCGTGCCATTCTTTACCATAATCCTTCTCTCGGAGAGATACTCCACCACCACATTCATCAGGTAACCAGGACATTTTGTCCTCCATTGCCTTTATTACCTTGTTTCACTGCAGCGAATTGAATGCATTCATTACATCGAACAGCAGTAGGGCCGTCCAGCGATGTCCATCCCCTCTGTTGCGTAGTGCTTCGAGTACACTCACGATTGAAGACCTAGAACTCGACCGGGAGATTGTATCAAAAAAGTTTAGTTAAAATATTAACGTTGTTTTGAAATAAAGTCCCGGGACATCCTGTATTTAAAAATCACGACCAAATATTCACTCTAACCACAGATTATCCTATTATAGTTATTTTTAGTCAGATCCAGTAAATCGGCAATAGCCGCAAAGCAACCAGTTCTTTAGTTATGCAGAACACGTATTTGCGATGTACGATTTAGAAACAATAACCTTCTTGGCACTGAGGGTATTGCACTACTTTTCCTAGTTGTTTTGATACTAAAATATGTGTCAATCAGCTTAATCATTTATTTAATGTTTACATCATATGTCATTGATTTAGTACTTAAATGAATATTTGGTTTTTAGTATTTTAGATTGATTCATTTGATAATATAATTCCTTTAATTAACCTTTTTTGTTTTGATTCCCAGGGTCTCCCCATATGTAGCTCGAAATTGTATTTTTATTTTGCGTTTCTATTGTGATATTCTCTGTTACTAATTATGGTTGATTTCACATTTATTCTACAGTACTTATATATCCATATACCTATAGCAAAATAAAAGTTAGAAAACTTCTCTGCTAGGTTAGGAATCTTGTAGATTTAGCATGATTAATTATAATATTTTCTCAATATTTTTTATTACAGAATGAAAGACAAAGACTGATGAGAAGAACTATAGTAAGGTACGCCGTTTTAGCTTATGTTATAACATTACAAAGGATATCCCTCAGGGTGAAGAAGAGGTTTCCAACTTGGCAGCACGTTGTAGATTCAGGTCAGTAATCCAATGTCCAAACTTATGTATTATGATTTATGTCAATATTTATGTAGAACAAAGACAATGAAATTCCATGAAGCCTACGAGAACATACAAGGTGGTACAAAAGTTGAATTAATCTTATCAACTTAAATGCGATAGTAAAAAAATATGATACAAATTATAATTTTAAAAGACGATCGATGTGATACACAGTATCACTCAAATTTAAAATATATTTTATTATTAATTAATTCTGTGAGAATTATTCGAATTAAAATGTAGTTATTGTAGCCGTGTTCATGTACATGAAATGGTGTGTAAGCCTTTATTAACACGAACCCATATTTTCGGCAATTGAAACTATGTTATAATTGAAAAACATTAGTTCCACTAGCACCTATGCGGGATTTCATCTGAAACATTAGCGTTTTTTGCAATTTTTTGCAACGTGATTCGTCAACTATCGAACGCGCGACGTACTGATGCTTGAAAGAGAGCAATTCAACCGGATTTACACCAACTTAGATAATGACGGTAATAATGATAGATTTTCCCCAACGGAAATCAACCGTATTTAGAATCCAAATGAATGCATCCTGCTCGTCGGCAATTATTTTCATTAAAATATAAATCGTATTGTAATTTATATATTGTTTTCTTGTTAAACTGGTAGGTAAGCAGTTAAATAATCAATGTGGAGATCTTCATTGCCTGTCTTAGATAAAAATAATACGTAATCTGAGAATATACTTGACTTCGAAGTGATTGATTATGGCGTGGCAAAGAGTTATTTACATTTATAATTTTATTTGACCATCATTTATAGAACCAAAGCAGTTATTAATTCACTTTATGCAGATAATCAACAAAGAAATGCAGGGGAAGGGTGTACAAAATGATATAGTGGGGTATAATGACATAGTGCTTGTATATACTATCTCCAGCTGTTTGTAGAAGCTTTCCTTTGTATGTTGTTCTTGTTCTTCTGTTGGGCAGTGAATGTTTACCATTGTTAGATTGAAGAAGTGGGTGCAAATTCTTCTATCTATTTATCTATCTAATCAGCCTTAAACGCCCACTCTTGGACATATGCCTCCCCTGTTAATCTCCATTGGTCTCTATTTTGGGCGATCTGCATCCAGTCCTTTCCCGCCGTTCTCTTAAGATCGTCAGTCCATTTCATCTGTGGTCTTCCTCTTTTTCTTTTCTTTTCCCATGATCTCCAGTGTAGAATTCGCTTATTCCATCTTTCATCTTTTTGCCGGAGAGTGTGACCGGCGAAGTTTCATTTAAGTTTTGCAAGTTTTGTCTTGATACATCGTTCACCTTTGTTTTTTCTCTGATCCATGAGTTTCTTTTCCTGTCTTTAAGACCGATACCCAGCATCTGTCTTTCCATTGCTCTTTGTGTTTTGGATATCCTGTCTATGTTTTCCTTTGTGAAAGTCCATGTTTGTGAGCCATATGTGATAACTGGTAAAATGCACTGGTTGAATACTTTCGTTCGCATATATTGAGGGAAATTCTTAACTTGTATATTCTTTCACTGACTGCTTGAAAGTCAATGAAACTCATTTTTGACTTAAAATCATTATCCACCACAAATTTCCTTTTTACCTTCCCACTATATAGAATTGTGTGCGTTTTAGTGTCTCTGACCTTTCCCCAGCCATCTTGTCTCCTGAAGATCAGTAATCATGAGCTTATATCTTTTTAGTTCTTGCAGAAGTGCGGTTTGAACTACTGGTTTATTTAGTGTTCTCACATTCCAGTTTCCAAATATATAGCCCATGTTTCGTAGCTTGAGTCGTTTCCGAAAGTTCTGTCCTGTATTCCGAGGCAAATATTCAGGTTTCGTATCAGTGTGTTTTTCCGGAAGTGCATAACGAAAGACTTGTGAAACTGGTATGGGAGGACATTCCCACAGGCAAAAGACCACTCGGACGTACCAGAATGCGATGGAGAGATAACATCCAAGCAGATCGGAACATTCCATTTGACCCTAGGCTGATGGAAGACCGAACAAATTGGAAAAAATTTGTACAGTCAGCCAAGACCCACCCAGGGTTGTAGCGCTACGTGATGATGATGATGAAATGTTCAGGTTTCAAAACAGTGTGTTTTTTTCGGGGGTGCGCTTAGGGCCGACAGTGGTGACTCCTGAGCTATTCGATCCACCCATTTGTCACCACAGGCGGATTTAGCATTAACAACGTTACTAAATAATTGTAATGTGCAAAGTTAAGTATTTATATCTATTTTATTGGTGATCATTAATGATTATTCCAAGCAGTATTCAATATCAAGTTACAAGCAGTACTCATAATCACCCTTTCACCGAGCAATAAAATAGATTACACTAATTTATAGATCTCTGTGGCTATTATTCCTACTTTGATAATAAAATGTGCGTAGAAAGCTGTGTTGCAGTCAAGCATCTGTGACGCGTGTAATAAAATATCAGATGTATTCTACAACTTCATTGTCTTGATGGTAATTGAGTGAGTAATTGAACATGACTCTTTCTTCTGTTCAACTAGAGATAAATGTGGTACATGCAATTTATTTAATTATATATTATGTAAATTTGCGCCGGTTAATTGCCAACACGGAAGCTCAGAGATTTTAATATAGTTTTATCGTTGTAAGTGTCGGTATAATATGAATGGAAAAAATATTAAATAATTGAAATATTGCGCATATTTCTTAGGTCTGTTTTTTAATGTACCTCCAGTAAATTATCATTTTCGTGGTATTTCCACTGATCGTCTTTCTATTGGGAAACCGTCTCTCGCCGGTTAAATTGATGGACCAGTAGCTACACCAGCTGATTGTCAAATAGACCACAGATAAATAATTCGTAAAATTAATTGAAACTGTATATCAAAGCGAAACAACAAATGTCAAACTTAAAACTAATACACAAACATTTAAAATGTACGGCAAGATGATAACAATCTCAATAAAACTGTTTACAATTCTAATAAAAAATATTAATAAAAAACTTGTATGGGACAACCTGGAAATCAACATGCATGATGAAAGATTAAACCAATTAAGCTTTGTTGACGATATCGTGCTGATTTCAGACAGGCTCAAAGAGCCACAGTTAAGTTCACTTAGCAGTATGTCAACTGAGGTAAAGACCCGTTTACACGGGTAGAGTAATGAAGCAAGTACTTGGTAGAGTAGAGTAACTCTACCCGTAAAAACCCGAAAAAACGTTCAGCAAAGTAGAGTAGCAAGTAGAGTGCATAGTAGGTAGTAGAGTCGAGTGACTAGCAACATGTGGCAAAGTAACTCTACTCTACTACCACCACCACCGCTAAAATTTCCACTCGCCCGCGCACTCTACTCATGGAACGCGGTGAATTCTGGTAGAGTAGAGTAGGTAGAAGAGTGCATAGGGACGCTGTCATTCCAGATGGAGTTGTGTTTTATGTAAAAATTAAAAATGAAGTTCACCGAAGATGAAACTTTAAAACTTGTAGAGATGTATGGAGAATACCAGTGTTTATGGAATTTAGGTAGTGTACACTACAGAAATAAAAGTATGAGGCAAGCTGCGGAGGATGAAATCGTCGAAAGAATGGCAAAAGAGGGTTTTGGAGTAAACGAGCTCAAGCAAAAAATTAAGAATATAAGGTGCACCTATAATCAAGAGTGTTTAAAAATACAAAAATCAAAAAAATCGGGTTCAGGTTCAGCCGATGTATACGTTCCGAACGTGAAATGGTTTACTCCTATGGAAGCAATCATGAAAGGTGCAAAAGGAAACAAGAAAACTGAAGGCTCACGGGTAAGTTACAGGTTTTTATTACTTGTTAATGAAAAATACAATAAGAAATAAAAAATGTATTCTTATCAAGATAAAAGTGAACGATTGTATATCAGATTTGACAGTAAACCGGTTGGCTGCCATATAAACTTGTCCACCAATAATTACAAATTTAATGCAACGTTGATTTTGTTTGTTCATAGAGTTAAAAAACGGACACTGAGCATTATACCCGTTCCCACCTGTCGTGTGTCGGATCCGTATATTAATCGGATGTCAGCATTTCTATCCTATTATTATATTATCGGAAGCTGGCAAATTTTTACAATATACGCGAGAGAACTGTGAGAGAGTACATAATAAACGAAATTGTATGTATAAGAAAATCAGCATTTTTAAAAGTGCCGATAAGATCATTATGTTTACCCATTACTTTTTAATCTTCTCAGATATGGTACTTGGAAATTTGTAAATTTATACTACAAACGATATTTAAAAACTAGACTAAACATACATAATAGCATTCATATAAAAGTGTGTAGGTTATTTATTTTTCCCAACTCACGACAAGTGGGAACGGGCTATAGTTCCGAAATTTTATGACAAATCTTGTTAAATACAAATTACAAAAAGTTGTACAATTCTTCATAAGGTTGTTCTAGTTAATAAATGTCATACACAATACAAAGTAATATCTCAAGTCAAAACACATTCTTATATTGCCATGGAACAGCTCCTTCATTGTTAAAATAGGTCATTAAGCGATCTCTCACTTTCTTAGCCATGGCTGTTGACTGAGAGCCACCATATGGTTCAAGATTTCTTAGTTCATTGATTTCGTTTCGCCATTGCCCTGGAATGACAGATCCGTTGTCAGTAATTTCCTTATCGACACAGCCATTGACAAAATATGATTCTGGGGATGTTTCTCTTAGCCAGTTGTGAAGGCTACAGGCTGCGGTAACTACTTTATTTACTGTTGTTAGCTGTACGGCTAAGTGTCTTTCGAAAATCCGGAAACGACTAACTAATATTCCAAATGCATTCTCCGAAATTCTTCTTGCCCTGCTCAAGCGGTAATTGAAGACTTGTTCATTTACGGTAAGACGTCTTCGGTACCCACTGTATGGCTTCATCAGGTACATTTTAAGCGGAAATGCATCGTCCCCAACAAGGAATAGACCATCGGGTAGAAGACTGTTCTCTAATGCTTCATATATATTGCAATTTTGAAATAC